AAAACAAGGAGCAGCCTGCGCGAAGGAGCGTCGAGAATGAAAACAACTGGCAAACCGTTCGAGAGAGACTAGAGAATATCGAAAGAGACTAGAGAATTTGAAAACAAGGAGCAAACCGCTCGAAAGGAACTAGAGAATTTCAGCAGAAGAAGCAAACCGCTTGAAAGAGACTAGAGAATTTCGAAAGAGATTAGAAAAGCGAAGAGCAAATCGCTCGAAAGGAACTAGAGATTTTCAAAAGAAGCAGCAAACCCAAAAAGACTAGACGATCTGACAACAAGGAGCAAACCGCTCGAGATGGACTAGAGAATGTCAGAAGGAGGAGCAAACCGAAGAAGGCTACAGTACAGAGTTTGTAAACAAGGAGCAAACCGCTCGACAGGAACTAGAGAATTTCAGAAGAAGGAGCAAACCGCGCGAAAGAGACTAGAGACTCTTGAAAGAGAGTTTAAAAGCAAGGGCAAAACGCTCGAAAGGGAACTGGAGATTTTCAGAAGAAGGAGCGAACAGAAGGAGATTTTCAGAAGAAGGAGCGAACAGAAGGAGGTTAGGCAATTTCGAAAGAGACTATGGAATATGAAAACAAGGAGCAAACCGCTCGAAAGGAACTAGACAATTTCAGAAGAAGGAGCAAAACGCTCGAACGAGACTGGAGAATTTCGAAAGAGGCGAGGGAGTTTGAAAGCAAGGAGCAAACCGCTCGAAAGGGCGTAGACCGCTCGAAAGAGGCCAGGGAATTTCGAGAGGGACTAGAGAATGTTGAAAACAAGTAGCAAGCCGCTCGAAAGGAACTGTTGAATTTAAGAAGAAGGGTAAACTGCTCGGAAGAGACTAGAGAATTTCGAAAGAGACCAGAGAATTTGAAAACAAGTAGCAAACCGCTCCAAGGCACGAGAGTTTCAGAAGAAGGGGCAAACAGCTCGAAAGAGACAAGAGAATTTCGGGAGAGCTAGAGTTTGAGAACAAACAGCAAACCGACCGGAAGGAACTAGAGCATTCCAGAAGAAGGAGCAAGCCGCTCGAAAGAGACTAGAGAATTTCGGCAGAGACTAGCAGTCGCTCCTTGTTCTGAAATTCCCTAGTTCCTTTCGAGCGGTTTGTTCCTTGTTTTCAATTTCTCTAACCTCTGTCGAAATCCGATAGTCTCTTTCGGTCGGTTTGCTCCTTGTTTTGAAACTCTCTACTCTCTTTCGACATGCTCCAGCGTCTTTCCAATTGTTTGGTCCTTCTTCTGAAAGTCTCTGGTCCCTTTCGAGCGGTTTGCTCCTTGTTTTCGAGCTCTCTAGTCTCTGTCGAAATTCTCTGGTCTCGTTCGAGCGGTTTCCCCCTTCTTCTGAAATTCTCTAGATTTTTTCGAGCGAGTTGCACCTTGTTTTCAATTTTTCTAGTTTTTTTCGGTTTGCTGCTTCTTTTGAAATTCTCTAGTCTATCGGTTTGCTGTTTGTTTTCAAAATCTCTAGCCTCGTTCGAACTTCTCTAGTCTCTTTCGAGCGGTTTGCTCCTTCTTCGCAAATTCTTTCGGCTCTTTGGAGCGGCGTGCTTCTTGTTTTCAATTTCTCTAGTCTCTTTTCGAAACCCCCTAGTCTCTTTCGAACGATTTGCTCCTTCGCCTGAAATTCTCTAGTTCCTTTCGAGTGGTTTGCTGCTTGTTCGTCATTTCTCTAGTCCCTTCCGGGCGGTTTAGTCCTTCTTCTGAAATTTTCTCGTCTCTTTCAATCGGTTTGCTCCTTGTTTTCAAATGTCGAAATTCCCTGGTCTCGGTCGAGCGGTTTGCTCCTAGTTCTGAAATTCTCCAGCTCCTTTCGAGCGACTTGCTCCTTGTTTTCAAATTCTCTATTCTCTCTCGAAATTCTCTACTCTTTTTCGAGCTGTTTGCTCCTTCTTCTGAAATTCTCTAGTTCCTTCCGAGCCGTGTTTTCAAATTCCCTAGCCTATTTCGAAATTCTCGACTCCCTTTCGAGCAGTTTGCTCCTTCTTCTGAAATGCTGTAGTTCCTTTCGAGGCGACTTGCTCATCGATTTCAAACTCTGAAACCTCTTTCGAAATACCCGTCTCTTTCGAGCGGTGTGCTCCCTCTTCTGAAATTCTCTAGTTGCTTCCGAGAGGTTTGCTCGTTGTTTTCAAACTCTAGCTCTCCCGAAATTCTCTAGTCTTTTTCGAGCGGTTTATTCCTTTTCTCAATTTCTCTAGTTCCTTCCGGGCGGTTCGCTCGACAGGGGCCAGAGAATGTCCCAAGAGACTAGGGAATTTGAAAGCAAGAGCAAGTCGCTCGAAAGGAACTAGAGAATTCCAGAAGAAGGGGCAAGCCGCTCGAAAGAGACCATAGAATTACGAAAGAGACTAGAGAGTTTGGCGACGAGGAGCAAGCCGCTCGAAAGGAACTAGTGAGTTTCAGAGGAAGGAGCAAGCCGCTCGAAAGAGACTAGAGAGTTTCGAGAGAGGCTAGAGAATTTGAGAACAAGGAGTAAACCGCTCGAACGAGACTAGAGAATTTCGAACGAGATTACAGAATGCGAAAACAAGGAGCACATTGTTCGAAAGAGACTCGAGGATATCGAAAGAACTAGAGAGTTTGAAAACAAGGAGCAAACCACTTGAAAGGAGCACGAGAATTTCAGAAGAAGGAGCAAACAGCTCGAAAGAGACCAGAGAATTTCGGGAAAGCTAGAGTCTGAAAACAAATAGCAAACCGCTCGGAAGGAACTAGAGCATTCCAGAAGAAGAAGCAAGCCGCTCGAAAGAGACTAGAGAATTTCGGCAGAGACTCGCGAACCGCCCGGAAGGAACTAGAAAATTTCAGAAAAGGAGCAACCTGCTCCAAAGAGACCAGAGAATATCGAAAGAGACTAGAGAATTTCAATCCAAGGAGCAAACCGCTTGAAAGGAACGACAGATTTTCAGAAGAAGGAGCGGCTCGAAAGAAACTGGGGGCATGCGAAAGCAGCTGGAGGCTGTGAAAAACAAGGGGCAAGCCGCTCGAAAGGAACCAGAGAATTTCGAAAGAGAACTGAGAGTTTGAAAATAAGGAGCAAAACGTTCGAAAGGAACTAGAGAACTTCAGAAGCAGGAGCAAGCTGCTTGATAGCGAATAGATCATTTCGAAAGATCGAAAGAGACCAGAGAATTTGGAAACAATGAGCAAACCGCTCGAAAGGAACTAGAGAATTTCAGAAGAAGGAGCAAACCGCTCGAAATGCAAACAAACCGTTCGAAAGGAACTAGAGGATGTCGGAAGAAGGATCAAGCCGCACGATATCGAATAGATAATTTCGAAAGATCGGAAGAGACCAGAGAATTTGGAAACAAGGGGCAACCCGCTCGAAAGAGACTAAAGAATTCAGAAGAGGAATAAACCGCTCGCAAGAGACTAAAGGTTTTCGACCGAGACTTGAGAAATTGAAAACAAGGAGCACTCCACTGAAAAGAGACAAGAAAACTTCAGCAGAAGGAGTAAACCGCTCGAAAGAGATTAGAGAATTTCGAACGAGACTAGAGAATTTGACAGCAAGGAGCAAGCCGTTCACAAGAGACTAATAAAGAATTTCAGAAGAAGGAGTAAACCGCTCGAACGAGACTAGAGAATTTCGGGAAAGCTAGAGTTTGAAAACAAGGAGCAAACCTCCCGAAAGGAACTAGAGAATTTCAAAAGAAGGAGCACACAGCTTGAAAAAACGCAGGGAATTTCGAGAGAGACTTGAGAATTTGAAAACAAGGAGCAAGTCGCTCGAAAGGAACTGGAGAATTTCAGAAGAAGGAGCAAACCGCTCGACCGAGACCAGAGAATTTCGAAAGGGACGAAAGATTTTGACAACAAGGAGCAAGCCGCCCGAAAGGAACTAGAGAATTTCAGAAAAAGGAGGAAACAGCTCGAAAGAGATTACGGAATTTCGAGCAAACTGCTCGAAAGAGACAGACGAAGGAATAAACAGCTCGGAAAAGCCTAGGGAATCTCGAAAAATAGATAACTTGAAAAACAAACGGAGCAAACCGTTCGAAAGACACTGGAGAATTTCAGAAGAAGGAGGAAACAGCTCGAAAGAGATTACGGAATTTCGAGCAAACTGCTCGAAAGAGACAGGCGAAGGAATAAACCGCTCGGAAAAGACTAGGGAATCTCGAAAAATAGATAACTTGAAAAACAAACGGAGCAAACCGTTCGAAAGACACTGGAGAATTTCAGAAGAAGGACCAAACCGCTCGAAAGAGACCAGAGAGCCCGCGAAGAGAGGAAGCCCGTGACCGGGAAATTTGTGACAGTGATCGAACCCTGCGAATTCGGGCGATAGCGGCGCGTCTGGATGAATCCTTGTCAGAGAGTACAAAAAAGCCTTGTGTGGCCTGTGAATGTGTTGTGTGCCTTTCTCGAGGCTTCACGTGTTCCTTTTGCCTCAGGGGCCATTTGAAGCCCCCCCATAGGGCGCAACTGCATTGCCGTTGGGGGGAGGGCGTTCTTTAAGACCTCTGGCTGGTGAGGGGTGCGCAAGACCATCTTTCAAAACCCGTCGTTGGGTTAGGAGGCCATCTCGGGCCCGAGGAATGTCGATCCGGGCTGCAAAAGGGCCACTGAAAGCCTTGTCCGCTGAGGGCAAGGGTTTTTTTGGTCATGGAATCGTGGTAGGGTAGAAAAAACACCCGTGCACAGGATAGAACGTTTTTTTTTTTTTCAGACCTTGTCCACGTTGGCGGAGATACAAATAAGCCCCTGGACAGTGCGGAGGGCTTTCTTCGGACGCTATCCATGCATGCCCGAGAAGCTGTTGAGCACCGGGTGGACCAATCAAAAGCCCAGCTCTATTCATATTTGTATCTCATGCACACACGAGCTTGATTTGCATATCCATTTGGACACAGTTCTCTCTCTTCCTCTCCTTTCCGGTCTAGAGCTATGAGACAGGACTAAGAATGTCTAGCAATAGTATTTTGTTGCCCACAGTCGTCGTGGGCAGTGGAAGCGGGTAGTAGTAGGTGTTGGTTGGTAGTGAGTAGTTGGCCCATGTGTCATGGATTCCCGTAAGTCGGTCCTGCACGCCAAGCTCGAAAGCTCTCGTTGCTCCACGCCGGAGGCAGCAAGATACAGACGGACGCCTTCGAAAACGCTCTCGCGGACCAAGCAACGCACCCAGACGACAGGCCCCTGAAATGCAGCTGAAAGCACTTCTCTCTCTCTCTCTCTCTCTCTCTTTCGCTATATATATATATATAATATTATATTATGGTATATCACGGTATACTATAATAGTATAATTCTTGTTGTACTTGTATCTAGCCCTGGAAAGATTGTGAGGTGCAGGGTTGAGGCTTCCGCTTAGGAGTTGAGGGAGTGGGGTTGACGGCTTCGGATTTCGGGTACAGGGCTCGAGTAAGACTCTGCAAATCCCACACGGGACTTGACTTGGCGAAACTGTCCCAGTGCCCCAGCCAGCCGGGACCAGTACACCTTATCTCCTGAACTCCCTCCGGACAACAAACAGGCTTGCCCCCCGACTTCCCGTGCTACGCGGCCATCAAGCACCATGCCACTGTTGTGGAACAGGTGCCTCGGAGTGAGAGCTCCCGCGGTCAAACCCGAGCACCGCTATCACAAAGTTCAAGTTGGCTGGTTTTTAGGGATTCAGTGGTTTCTCAGAGGAAGACGGCACCGGAAACCAGCAGGTTTCAAGAAATCCTTCATGGCAGGATCAGTCTTTTTGTTGCTGTTCTTCTGAACCGAACCTACAGTTGGAATCCTCGACATGATCGCTCTTGCCCGGCCCCGATGTATGCAAGCTTCTACTCGAAATCCTTATATAAGCCCTAGACCCCGAGTCCGTAAAGCCTACACCCAAGATTTGCATTGAGGGTTGAGGGTTTGGGGTAGGAAACTAGCGACCGAAATGCATGAGCTTTTGAAGCCAGAGAATCCCATGACATTAAGCCTGAACAAGGAAGGCTTCGACTTCGATTCAGAAAATTCCAGAAAGCCCGACAGAATAATTCCATGAAGCCCCAAACCCTAAACCCTACAAGGAGCTGAACAGGGCTTCGAATGATTAGACTTCCCGGAGTTCCTATCTTGTGTGCGGTATCAAGCGGTATACCCCAAACCCAAATCTAGTTTCTAAGCGGCCCCAGGGTCCGTATCCACCATGCCCTGGCTTGAGGTATTGCGTGCTGCGAAAGCCGCGGCCCACCGAGTGGGGATCGTCACACTCTCGGAGAGGCAAGGAAAAGATTGTGGATTTGGAATCTTGCCCTCCTGGGCAAAATGTTTCAGGGTTTAGGGTTTCGATCAGTTTGGTGTCTTGTCTAGGTTCCCGGCATACTGTGGGTGTAGGGCTGAGGGCTTACGTAAACAACGACACAAAAGTGACCCGGAATGCTGAATTGAAGTGCGGCCCATTCTCTCTTTTCCGGTGCATCGCTTCTGGAAGGATGCATGATGGGTTTTTAGGGTTCAGGGATGAGGTTGGAAGGAGTCTCGGATTCTCGACCGCAAGGACGAGGGCTCGTCATAGAGTAAAACATTCACAGTCGCAGCGGTTCCAAAATACGGACGCAACGACCTTCATGGCGAAACGAATATGGGCTCAACAGCGTAAGGATGCGAAGACTCGTTCCTTGATGTCAAAGCTGCGAGCCTTAACCCTAAAGCCCCCGAGCCCTCAAACACCCAGCCATGCAAAAAAGCCCCCAAAGCCCCTAGGCCGAAATCCTGCCCCTTGTCCGAGTGTGCGATTGGACCGACATCCCTAAATCCTTAGACCTGAACCCCACGAAAACCTCCAAAGCGCCCCGGAAGGCCTTGGGTTTTCGAGTCGGCAGATAAGTATCTTCCAGGACCGGCAAAGTGGGTTTCAGGTTTAGGGATTTGGGGTTTAGGGTTTAGGGTTTCGCTGAAGGTTTAAGGCCTTAGACAGGAGTCTGCGTAGTTTAGCAGTGGTATCCCTTGAGAGCCCCTGCATCGTTTAACAACCCCCTAGACCCTGTATGGTCTAGTTGAGGCGCAGGGGTGTGAAGCTTTTGAGCTCATGGCTTTGGGCACGGTAGGATGCTACTCTGTTGCTGGCGCAAAATCCTGTGGTTGAGGGCTTGGGCTCAGATTGGGTCTTGGTGTCCCGTGTCGAGCTCTCGTGTCACGGACAGGGTTTCTAGCCTTCTTAAATGGCACAAAACCTAGTTTCGTAGACTTGGGGACGGGGCCTTGGCAAGGATGGGTGAGGCCCCTTCCATAGGTCCTCCGTCAAGAAGCATGCAGGCTCACACTGCGAGCTTTTGAATGCATGTGGAGCTCCTGGCTCAGGGTTTCTTTCGGGTATCAAGCCTGTGTAAAAGGGGTTGGCATTCTGGCATACGAGGTGGCCTGAGGATCGCAGGCCACTTGTCCGACTTGTCCCTGCACGTGCTTCTACTCGGGCTTGATTGGGCCCTCGGGGAGCAGTTCGGTGACAAGAAGCAGAGCAAGCATGGCAACTGCCCGTGACGCATGGCGTGTTGTGATAGGTCGCAAGCAGAAAACCGGGGTCAGAGTTTCGCATTGCACCGGGAGGGTCATACAACAACGCACTTCTTTGAGAGGGGGTGGCAAGTCTGAAAACTGACTTTGAGCCTTCTAAGCACTAGCAAGAGGTGGGAGTTTCTCGAAATTAGGGCTCCGAAGAAGCTGCAGGAGGGGAGGGCTCTTATCGATCTTCTCTGGAGGATCAGGTTTCCCTGCTTTCAACACCTTAAGCTTCCTAAGCAAACTTCCTGACGGTAACAGTCGCAACGCAGCAATCCAATCCCTGGGCCTAAAGCCTTGCACCCCAAGGCTGAACCCAAACCTACCAGGACTTGATGTTGCAGAGCTCCTGAAGGAGCTCCAGATTCCCGTGTGACCTTCTTAAAGTGCGGAGGTCATAGGGGATTTCATGGCTTGGGTCTTTCTCAAAGCTTGTGGGTTCTGATGGATCTTGGAATTCTCCGAGAGGGTTTCGGGCCATTGGGTCAACGGTCGGAGTTCGTTGAGTCTGCGAGCATGTAACCTGGAGCTTTAGTCCTGGACCCAGAGGGCTGGTGTCCCGCCTGAACACTTCGAACCCTGCAGTATATATGTTTTCGGCGTGCCCCATAAGGTCAATATCCTGGAGGATGGTTCTCGTGATGTTGTATGGGCTTGAATAAAGAGTCATAGCCCCCTGAAAGTCGCTACATGGTTACGTTCTATTGAGCTCTGTTCCAATTCCAATTTGTGCAGGTGAATAAATTACACGGAAAACCCACCCTATATCAGCCCGTATCCCATAACCACCCATTTCAAAGGTACTATGCGCCGGAGCATCAGCACGAGAGCGGTTCTGACGAAGAGGCCGGAGAACGAGCACGTGAGCAAGCAGCAGGGACCACAAGAGGATAGGAGTGGTCTCTCTGCAAGTCTGAAGTATCTATGTTTCAGGTTTGCTTCCCTGCCCTCCCTCACCTCCAAAGGAGAGCAGAGATGTCTCTGTGCTGCGCGAAATTCTGTCTGATGGTGCTGCGAACCATGATAGTGGAGAGCATAGCATAGCAGCTCTTCGAAAGGGCTAGGCATCGCAAAGCCGCCACAACAAAGGTTCAAACTCATCGGGTTGCTAGGCCTCAGTCACCTCAGTCCTTCAGACTATTGTGTCATAGGGCAAAGACAAAGCGGCAACTCCCACTCCGAAACTACATCTAAGCCCAAAGCAAGTGACCCTAAACCCCGAAACACCCAGTACCCCATGCCAGCCTTGCGCGCGCGCGCGCGCGTGTGTGTGTGTGTGAGTCGAAACCTCGAAACCCCAAGCCCCAAGGCCTAAACCGTAAACACTGAAACCCTAAACCTTGATGCCGAGTGCCTCAAAGCCTCAAGCCTCCCTAGACCACCAAGCCCTAGAGCCTTTATAGAACCCCATAGAGCTCCTAAAGTCCCTGAAAGGATGCCCGGTGTTCTGAGGATCCGAAGGTTAGCATGAAGAAGGCAGCGATGGCCGAGTTCCTTCAGGCCTCGGGGTTTAGGGTTTAGGGCTTCGGGGACTGCGGGTTCCGGCAGAGCCGCTGCAGGCCAGTTGCACAAAGGGATTGCGGGTCTGGGCTTTCTCTTTTGGGGATCGAGGTTACTGGGTGTAGGCTTTCGGGTCTCATGGCTGAGGCTCGAGGGTTTGGGCGCTGACAACCTCCTAGGCGAGGAGGCAAGCCCGCTGCAAAAGACCCCTTGCAACCCAAGAGTCTCTCTGAAAAAAAAGGCTGTAAGGGGTGAGCCCTACACCCTAAATTCCCACAAAAAAAGATGTAGGGTTTTAGGGTTTCAGCCAACCCTAAACCCCAAAATCAAAGGGAGGTCTAGGGTTGAGTGGCTTGAGGGTTGAAGGCTCTTACTTCTAGGACTGAACAATTCAGGGAGTCACTTGAACAAATTAGTTGATGTCCACAATGCTCTGAACGAAAGTCACTAGCCAATCGAAGGCTTCCATCCTACAAAACCTAAAACCAGCATTAAAGTTATGCACTGGACCCTGAACGTTTTTTCACAGCCTCACACTGGGCCCCCAGCCCGTGACAAAAGAACATCATACCGAAGCTTCGAACCCACCCCAATACTCCCTGCACGCAGGCACGAAGCTTAAAGTGAAATGAGTATCGCCACTCCGTTTGGGAGGCCCTAAACCCTAAACCCCAAACCCTGTCAGACACCTCGCCTGGATTGCCCAAGTTGTAAGAGTCGAAACCCTGATCCCTGAAAGGTGGGTTTCGGCCACGATGCCTCGTCCGACGGCTCGCTGAACGTTGTGTCCATCGGCGACTCCATGGTCGAGAAGGCGGCTCAAAAGCCTAGGAATAACCAGTAGTTTATATCCTCGTATAGGATAGTATGTGGCAGTACATCATCCAGAATCATAGTATATTGTATTCTGCCCCAGTCTATTGTATCATATGACAGTATCTTGTCGTATACGGTTTCATCGTGTATAGCACAGTTACCCCGGTAGAGCCCAAACCGTGTTCAAGTTAAGGCCCTTATTGATCGTGATTGTTATTGCAGGGTGTTGGGCTCAGGGTTTATTCGACGCCCGTCAAGTCTGGTTTCATGCCCTTCGAATTTCATTTGTTTGCCTTGGGCCGAGGATATGGAACTTGTTTTTGGGTTGGGGAAGCTAGTCCCGAAAGAGCCAACCGCCGAACGCAGGCTCCAGTAGACCTAGGGTAAACATCTGTGAGCTTCTGTCCTGGGTGATCTGCAATTTGCGGCCTCAGGCTTCTTCAAAGTCGGAAAGCCCAAGCCCCAGGTCCTCTTTGTTATACTGCTCCCTCCTTGAATCTGCATTTGTGAGTCTCCCTGTTTGTTGCGGATTGTCAATGCACTTGCACAGGTGTTGTTTTGCCTACTTGGTCGCTCAAAATCCTAAGCCCCCAAACCCTAAACTTTGACGGCAACCCCACAACATCTCCGGGTGCCGGAACCCCCAAATCTATGAAACAGAACCCTGAGCCCTGCTCAATGGATAGACATTTCGGAGGCAGACTAGTTTCACTGACGGAAAGAAGAGCTGAAGCAAAACGCAGTCCGGAATCCCGACATCCGAAGAACCCGGAGCCGTATTAGAATACTGCAACCTGCGCGGGCTCTAAACCCCGAAAACAGGACACCGAAAGCCCCTACTTTCAGCCCTAAACCCTGAACCCTGAAAAAAGCCATCGAACCTGAAAGGTAGACCCGAAACCCCAAGCCCCGCATACGCAATCTTGTACGACTGAAGTTGCGGTCTTGAGGGGTTTGAATTCCATGAACTTAGCCGTGGGAAGCATTTCTGTATGAGAACTGAGCTTGCAATCTTGTCACACCCCCTGCCTAGCGACTCGAGCAATAAAGGAGGCAAATACACCGAAGCCCTGAGCCGTGAAGCCTAACCCTGAACGCAGAGGGAAAAAAAGCCCCAAGCCCCAAGCCCGAAACGCCCCGACGTTTCCGCAGGAGGCTGCCGAAGCCACGGTGCGCTCAGTGGAGCTGAGCAAGACCCAACCGAGCGCCTTGGCGAAGGAGTTTTGCCTTTTGGCTCCCAGGTTGTTATCGGGATCGATGTAGGGATTGAAATTTAGAGAGTAAAAAACCTAGACCTTGGCTTTAAGGTTTACGGGGTTAAACCTTCATTCCTAAACGCCCGAAGCGTTGGTTGGGAGTCCACTGCCTCAAGAGCCCAACCCAAAAAGATCCAAGGCCTTTGCAAGACGGTGAAGCTCATCAGTGACCCTTCCTTGAAGCAGCTCACGGACGGGCTGCAAAGGGACATCACTCCTACCGTGTAGGCGTAAGGCGGAATGGATTTGGGGATTCGGGTTGCGACAACAGGTGCGAATTGTGTTTACAAGTTTGCAGCCAGATGCCCGGCCCTGGAAGAACGAACACCACTCATGACTCTCCAATCACACCGCCCCAAAGGAGACGGGCCGAGAGGTAAAGATTGGGGTTTAGACAGGATTTGTCTTTGCAGGTGCTCCATCATCTCACCGGTTTATCGAATTACTAATCGCGGATGCTAATGCCCCGAAGTGGACGAAGCATTATCTCCAGAAGGCCACCTTCTACACCATAGCAAGACTAGTTGTCAAAGATCAACAGTGGCAAAACACGCAGCAACAATAGAAGTAATATGCAACAAGATCATGCATTTTCATGATGGGTGTGATGATGAGAGTTTTGACATTGATGCAGAACATGTTGAGCATGAAAACGATAATGCTGGTGGTGTTGCCAGTCGAAACCCTACAGTCGAAACCACCCCCCTACCAGGACGAGCTTCAGATCCTCTCCTCGAAGCTTCAGCCGATCATAGGCGCCAAGGGTGAGACTCCCAAGCCCGTTTAGTTAAGGAACAGCGCTTAAAATTATGGGTGGGCGTCCTTGTTTCCTCAAGTGTAGGAGGCATCCTGATGGACATTCCTGAATGACCGGGTGTTGGATCCTCTGGGAAGCTGGGCAATGCTGCGCACAGGATTGGTCCAGGAACTAGGATGGCCCCACGCGCCAGGTCACCCCAGAGATCTTGACCTGCATGTGCAGAGCCCAGAAGACCTCACTGCGCAGATTGCCACCCTGCCCTGCACTCAGGACGGTTCATTAGGCTTTAGGGCCAGATGGAGCTCATTCCAGGGTTCTTAACTCACCATCTTAAGTGCGGCCAGACAGTTGTAACCAAGGGTTCGAAGAATTGGAACGGGATGGTGCTGCCTAAACCCAAGGCGCTGAACGCCAAAGCCTGCTGTTTGAGTGGGCAGGCGGGAAAATCCCCACCTACAAAAGCACCCCACCTGTATTATTGTAATCACCAACATTCTTCCAGGGGGTTCTTTATTGTAGGTATGGCCTAGTTTATTTATTGCAGTTTCATTCTAGTCAATTCTAGGTATATGTGCGGAAGGCACCCAAGGGTACCCGAGGCGTGATCCTACGAACTTCCGAGCCTCCCCCATAGTTGACAAAGCATGACAGAGCCAGATACGGAGTAGGGCAAATCCTGATCTTGAGTGACGACCATACACACCAACACCCTACAGCTGAAGACAAGAGGGCCTGACCCCACAGCCCGCGCCACTTTACGCTCGGATGTTCTGAGCGACAGTCCAAAACAGTGCAGACCCCTGTTTGATAAGCACGCTTTCTTGAAGAGCCTAGTTTTACGGCCAGGATCCTTATCACAAGCCTTTTTTCAGGATAAGCCTGCTTTAACCTCAGTAGTAGGATCCTTACGAGCACTTTTGGGTAGGGTTGCTTATCGATAAGGGGTCTGCAGTACCCTGAGCCAATGGGGCCCTCAGCCCCCAAAACGCCCTTGACCCAGAAGGGACCCTTCCCCCTGAACACTAAACCCTAAACCGCTCCGCCCTTTCTGTCTCAGTGGAGTTGCGAGATCTGTTGGGAAGGGTTCATCGGCTTTCAGCGCAGAACTCCGAGCTTTTCAATCGAAGCCCGAGCCCCTAGCAGTCAAGGAAGGGCCCCCCTTGGCAGGTATTCAGGGTTTGCATAATGCCCCAAACCCTAAACGGTAGTTCCCGAAGTAAATATTCACGTCCTTCAGCCTCAGGGAGAAGCAGCCCCTGAACCCTTGTCACAACCCTAAACCCTAGCCGCCCTATTAGCTTATCCTGGGGCCCCTTTCGGCTTGTGCCCAGGTCGGGAGCATGAGGTCCGAGCTGAGCTGGTCAACTCTGACCGGCCCCAATTCTTTTGTTCTCATGAAGTGCGAGACTGCACTGACTAAAATAAACCCTGATGGCCGGACGCAGACAGACATGGTACTTCAGCTATGTGTGGCTCTAAGCACAGTTGTCCTCCACTGTCGGAAGAATCAGAAGGTAGCATGGCAGTCCTTTCCTTTTGCAACATCTGCTTATGACGCATAGCGGCCGAAGCAAACGAACCAGTTTGCCAAACACAGGCTTTGGTAAGCGAGCCTAAGCGAAGCCCCAGACCCTGGGGCACATGAAGGATTGTAGACGTGGCACGTCTTGAGCATCACATTTCTGTGCTGCCGACTTTGCATTTTGCCGGTCGGCTGGCGCCGGTGGCGCCTGTGCTATCAAGAAGTTGATAGTCTTTGCCGCCTTATACAGACTTTCTTCTGGCCTCTGAGTCCCTGAGGTGAACTCCCCCGTTCAACTACTCGTAGGGATCGGTTGCCACACGGTTCCAAACTTGGCTTAGGCATTGTTCATAGGTCCCCGAGGATGTCCCAGTAATCTAGCAAGCTGTGGGGGAGGCCTTTGGGATTCTAGGTATTTGGAGTCCTTGCTGACAACAGCTGCTTGCATGTAATTCCGGGCTCCACACAACAACAGAACATGAGCATAGTCGCGCACCTCAAGGTGCGATGTGTCGGTGGGCAAGAACCACCTTCTACGCCGAAGCCAAGCGTAAGAGGCTGCTGTTGATCTCTGTTCTGCGATCAGTTCTATACGTCCATGGGCAGTGAGCTCCATCACCAGCTGTCGGTTACCATGAGGAGATGCATAATACTTTGTTCGGTCCTTGGGACATGACTGCCTCAAGATCAAACGCGCCTTGGCTTGTTTGTTGGCCATTCCGCCCGCTCGCAGCGCAGTCGGGGCAAACTCATCCCTTCCTCCAATGCCAGCAACAGTATGTTACATAGTATATATTGCATATAGTACATTCTATTTTCTGTTCTGATATGTAACATATATATATATATAGGTAAGATATTGTATATAATGCGATAGTACATAGCTATCCCCTTCTTTGCTGCACTCCTAGACCGACTCAGTGCAGCCAGCCTGAAGACCCTGGAAGAAGAATCCGAGGTAGTGAGTAGTGGTGCAAGAACAGAATGCGGAGGATGTGCTCCTCGAGACCCATGAGGATTGTTCACACAGGTGCTAGTGAATTTGCATCATGCGCTTTGGTTGGGGAAGGTTGTTAGCCTTTTCAAACTTCTTCGAGACCCCACTGTTCGCCTCGTTCGTGTGAAACGCGTCCCAGACAGAGCGGACTTGATGTTCCGAATGAACAGTGTGCTCTCCAACTCCCCGCGCTCCTAAACGAAGAACAGACGGAGTGGAGTCGAGTAGAAGAGGTTTCAGAACTCCTCTCGGGCATGGAGACTGGGATGCCATCTGCCCCGCACGAGACCATGATCTCTCGGGATCTCCCAAGGTCTCCCTCTGGGGTCAGCATCAGCAGCCCCTTTCGGTTCTTCCCTGGTACGACAGCTCTCGGAAAGTGCGAAGAAAATGGGGTTTCTGCGGTGGGTGCCTTTGGCCCCTAGCCTACAGGAGCTGGAATAACTCTCAATGCACTTCCCCCGTACGGACCTGTACAGAACTGCAGTCATTAGAAGGCATTCCAGGAGCTTTTAGTTTAATTCTGCAAACCTCAGCATTACACCCACCTTGGTTTCGAGCCCGGAGCCGTCCTTGCAGCCCTGTGGCTCCTTAATTATAAGTCTTAAGTGATACACCAAAAAAGATCCGAAACCCCAACATACACTTTCTCCGAACACTTGGGCTCTGTCGGGGGTTGAGCGCGTGGGGCTTAAATCGTAGATATTCGCTGCCTTGCAATGCCGAGAGTGGAAATTCGAGACTACGGAGAGCTTCAGCCTGCACAACATGAGAGTTGAGGGTTTAGGGTTTACGACTTAGGGTTTAGGGTTTACGGACCCTGACTCTCCATCTTTGCAGGATGCCTAGACCCCGGTGTCTCTGCACCCAAGACCCCCGCACGGGGCAAAACCGACAACCGAAACGCCGCAGGGCACCTGAACCCGAGAAGTTTTCAGCCCGTAACCTTTTCTCCCAAATCCGAAATACAAAGCAAAACCCCTATAAGCTACTACTGGTGTGAGCCTATAAACTAGGTCGAGCATATCCCAGCAAGAACATGAAACCAAGAACCCCGTAAGCTACTTTGCGGAGACCTAGAAACACCCAAGAAGATTTCTGGAAAGGACATCACAAACCCACGGGACGGGCACCTTAAGCTAGGGAGGTTCACGCCTAGGTTCACGGACTACCGTCCTACCATATCACCGATAACCATTCTTACCCATATATCCTATAACCCCCCGATCAAAAATCTTATCCAACACCTATCCACGAACCTGGGCGTGAATCTTATTTAATTTCATTACCCATAACCCTAAACCCATTCTACCCAATTATCCTATACCCACACCACCAAAAACCCTTACCAAAAGACCTCAACCCCTAAACCAAAGTTGCGAAGCCCCTCTTCCAAATACTTACCAGTTTCCAGATATGGCGGCATGCGGCATGCTGCGGCCATAAGCTGCGATGTGCATCTGACATTTCACGTTCATGACCCTACTTTGCTTAATCAAAGCAATGTAACATTTGAAGTGCAATTGGTACATGATGTGGGGCACAGCGTCGCGCAAGTGAAGATAGTTGGTTGAAGACATGTCCCAGCACAGCAATGTCGGCCGCGTCCTTCATGACTTGCCTCAAGTTCTTCCTAGGGACGGTACTTGGTCCGATGCAAGCAGTGTCCCAGGGCGAAGAGCTGGAAACCATTATGAGGCGTTCGTACGCCAGAGGCTCACCGGATGTCACAAGAAGCAGGACGCTGCAAGGTTTATTGCTGATCTGGGCGATAGGCAGTGTCAAGTGTTGAACGACTTGTGGACACAAGCCATGACCATATCGAAGGAGAGCACACAAAAGTTGTGGGATCGCCTGAAGCCCGATGAACAGAAGGCAGTGCCAGGCCCGCATTCGGCTGAGGCAGACATCATCACTGAGGCAAAGATGAATGTGAAGGAGCTTTTGGGGAGCAAAGCGGAGGTTCTACTCGGACCAGAGTCTCCTTACTCTTTTGAGAAGAAATTTAGCATTCTTGTTTCTGCAAGCTGTGTGAAAATTCAACAGACTTGTGCACCTTGTAGATGAGCCAAGGTCTGTGCCGGCTCGCACAATTGTGGAGGCAACTGTGAATGCAGCGCTGTTTTACATCAAGTGCCACCAGCTTGAACGTTTGCTCATGGTGGCAGAGAAAAGCAGCGGAGAAGCTCATCCAGCTGCTGCACTGGTGGTGAATAAAAAGCCCATCAAATGCGCTGGTCAATGGAGCCGTTTTTTAGCAATGTTCCCGACTCTGAGTCTAGGCTGACCTTCGGAACTGTTTAGTTTTCCTTCTGTGTGGTAGAAAAGACCTTGATCCTCAATTCTTATCGACAGCGTTTGTTTTCGTCGAAAACGTCCAAAATCCAATCCAGGAGTCGCCTGCACAACGACGGCCATTTCAGCCTGGTTTACTGCCCTCACGGCCTGAACTATGAGGAGTACGAGGACATGAGAAGCAGCAAAGATGCGGAGTTAAGCAGCAAAGATGCCTGGATAAAGCTCCTCGTCGTGGTGATCTTGCTCCTCATTGTGTACAGCACGTCCAAGTTTTACATCGGGCCAATTTCAAGTAGAGAAGATCTTTGAGCTGCCCCTTTCTACAACCTGGCGGACAAATTCACCAGCCAGCTCTTTGCAAGCAGAGCCATGTTGCGGTCACTCGCTGCTGAGTTTCACTTTTGCATGCGTCTCCGGTCTCTCTCACCTCAACAAAAGAGCGTGACGTTTAGCATGACACGCCAAGAAGACAACGACCACTGCGAGTTCCAGATTTGCGCTGTGCCCTCTAGGGTTTAGTTTATGGTTTAAGTTAGGGTTTTTGTTCCGGGTTTTGGGGTTTAGCTTGGGGTTTTTGTTCAGGGTTTTGGGTTTTAGCTTGGGGTTTTTGTTCAGGGTTTAGGGGTTTAGCTTAGGGTTTTTGTTCAGGGTTTCGGGGTAAGCATTGCGACGGCCTCAGAAGGCTTAAGAAGGGTTTAGGGTTGGTTTAGGATTTGTTTTTCCCTAAAACCACCAAAAAATGGGGCTGGTAGGGTTGATTAGGTCTTTTTTGCCCTAAAACCGTAAGAGAGACAGAGAGAAAGAAGAGGAATAACAATTTTGGCTCAAACAACATAAAATCCAAAATGCAACATCCAATGTAGTAAAAAACGGGGTTTTAAGCACCAAACCTACCAAAACAAATCCAACCTACACCAAAACATATAGCAAAACATATACCAAAACAGCCAAAAGCAAAAAATCAACGACAATCATGAAAAATCGTCATAACCCTTTTTTTCCAACTTCTGACCGCCATGTCCAAAATAGTTTTTATAGTTACATATTACTATAAATTATCTTCATTCCTCAACCTTGTTCGGCTTAATAACAGCCATATTCTCCATACTATATTTTTGGTTAGGAAGCATTTTAACCTTTCCCCCCTTTGCTTCCTTAATCCGTTGCTTGCTTAACCTTTTTCTTTCCCTAACTGCCGTGGCATAACCGGGGTCTTGCATTCTCAACTTATAATATAATCTTTGATACAATGCCATTTGCTCCCTAACCTCGTCCAGTGTCAAATCCTCAGGTTTCTTCATCGCAGTCATTTTTTATACTTACTATATATAGGCGTTTTGTCTTTAAGGCATTTAACAAATACCAACATAACCAAAATCATAACAGGAGATTAAGGAGAAACCATTTAAAGAAATAATAACAGTATATTTTAATCTAGATTATCTTATGACTAGAAAGGCTATTCGTGATAATATTAAACACCTAAATAACAAGAGACAGCGATTAATAGAAACAAAAGCACCTAAGAACGTTATTACCAAAGTTAATCAAATTGTTGATTTATATGAGAACCGCCAACTTTCAATTTTCAAAGCCGCCGAAAAGCTCATCAACGACATGACCACAAGGAACACAAAAAGAAAAAAACAAGAGGCATTAAAAAAGCAGAAAAAGCCATAGAAAAGTTTGATGCCAAAGCCCCATTATCGAAACGAATGAATAAAACAGCCGAAAGAGCCAGGGAAGGAAAGCAGATAAAAGTTTTAAGGCGCATTTTCGGGAAACAACCTTTAAGAAATGTTGTATCCAAAACAAAAGAACTTCTCAAAAATCGCAAAACATATTCCATTAAATACATGCTTCTTTCAACACAAAACCGCTCAGGAAAAAAACGGGCCTTTGAAGTCAATGGCAAAAGTTATTATCCGTTACTTAATCCAGCACAGAGAGAAGCCAATGTAAAAGCAAACGATTTTATAGAGACCGTCATGAAACGGAGAATTACAAAACAATATGATAAATTCCTGTTCAAGCGCCTTATGTTAATATTAAGCACAGACCCAGAATTTTATGAGATGGCTCGGGGCGAGATGTATCAATACATTGACGCTATAAGACTTGAAAGCGCCGACATTGCAGAAGGTGAAGCTCAACCACCAGAAAATCAAAACCTGAGAGAGACCATAAACGCATCCATATACAATAAATACATTGAAACCGAGATTGACCCCAGCTACTCAACAATAAAAGAAGCACTCGCTAAAAAGCATTACGCCGAAAACGAATGTTGGATAAATTCACTTCTAGACCACTACCCTGACCTTATGAGACACAAGCGGGGCTCGCTTTCAAAAACATTAACCCGACAACATATGCTAGAACTTCTACATACAACAGAAGAAGAGTTTAAAAACAAAGGTGCAACCACCACGCAAATGGAAAACGTCTTCAAGGCATTTAACATAACAGCGCGTCTTTTTGACTTCAGCGGGAAGCTTATTTATTCCTTTGACCCGCCCAACTACCATATGCACACGAAAGGCTTCTTCGGGCTCATCAAGAACAACCACGTCTATACCATAAACAGAGACCTGAAAAGCATCAAAAAGACAATGAATACCAACACCACACGGGAAGACTTCAAGCTTAAAATCAGTAGCAACTATTACATAAGCGACCGAGAAGAGCCCCCTGAATGCCATATGATTGAGACAGCCAACGACCTTTTGAAATACACCGAAAAACCAGAATATACCCTGGTTCATAAAGATAATGACCTCGTAAAACTCTTCCACGAACTAAAAACGGCAGGTTACGAGCCCTTCATAAAATATCAAGCCGGAACGATGACAGAATTGAAAGTAAATTGGAAGATAAAAAGCACGACGCAGTCGCCTGGCGCGAATACTCGCGCCACAAAGCAAGAAATCACCTACACAATCAAGTTACAAAACTTATCAACTCACAGCATAGACGAAGACGTATCGGTAGAAAACGAAGAGCTGTTCAACGATATGAACAGGGAAATGTTAAACTTCAACAAGAAAATCTTCAACGATGCCCACAAGTCCTATTATAGCCAGACCGACATAGACATTTAGATGAATGCAGAACCATAGTGCCATCCGGATATTCCAAGCACGATTTCTCTAACAGAACAATAGAAATTGACAGAACCAAAGCCTTTACAAAAGCCTTTTCCAAAATTACACACACACACACACCTGTTTTTACCGAGTTTGACATATGGAAGCCTTACCAAAACGAAGAATTACAAGGTTTAAACCTATACCGTGTGGAAGCATCAAACGGCAATATTTTTTCAACAAAAAGTTCAACCTCGTTTATGGAATGTTTCTTAAACGCTTTGAAGAAACAACTTTCAAAATACACTACCACAAGCAACCGTCGCACATTCATGAAGTGGATTATGAAAATATTGTCACCGAGCTCTGGAACACCAAAATAAGCGACAAGCCAAAGCAAGACGCCAAAATCAAAAAGACAATATCCAATGTAAATTTCGGACTATTAGAGAAGTCCACCAACAAAAGACAAAAGTCAATATCCTTCAACAGTCTAGAAGAGGCGCTATATTACAGAAACATTTATGAGGGTAGGGTGTTTGTTATTGAAGAAGGCACTTTAGAACACGATGAAGAAGGAAATATTTTTACGAAATACTCTGATAAATATTATATACTGAACGTCTCAAAACAAAGAACGCCAACCAACGGCTTTCGCTACATAAAAGAACTCCTTCTTCAAAATCATAATTATGATATGTATGACACCTACAACACCTTAACAAAACACAACATAGAAATATTCAGTGTAAAGTCAGACGCCTTCGTCATCAATAAAAATCACCTAACAAAAGCCAAGAAGCTTATAACTTTTAATAACCAAGTCGGAGGATGGAGAGCGGAAACCGACAAGGAAATCAACTTTCCGACTGAACTTTACAAATACAGATTAAACATAAAACACGACATACCAATTTACGGCAACAACCGCCTAAACATAGTCGACGAATGGAACACCGAAGCCATCTGCCAACAAATCGTAAAAAATAACCCCTGTATGATCCGTGCTAAATACGCTGGTTCTGGAAAATCTTATATCTGCGAACACTTCCAGAAGTTAGATTACAACGTTCTTTTCGTTGTTCCTAACAACCGCCAGATACAGGAAATCAAATGCGAAGCCACCACCCTAAACAGATTTTTCAGTATTCCGGTGCATACGGGCGACGAACTTCCCTACTACGACCATTCCGAGTATAATGTTATTGTTTTCGACGAGGTTTATATGGCAAACGCCTATATCTTAAACAAGATAAGGGAATTCACAATCAGATACAAAAACCAAAAAATCATTATCGGAACGGGTGACACAAAACAGCTTCCTCCGATAAATGACTTATCCAACACACAGCCCTATGATACTTATGCCGATAACTGTATAAATATTATTTTTAATAATGACATCTTTCTAGAAATATATAAAAGGGTAGGAGAGAAGGACAGAGAAACGATGAACAATCTTTACGACGACTTCTGGCTAAACAAGATGCCTATTGAAACCATAGCGCATAGATACTTCCAATTCACTAACAGCACCCTAACGAGCCCTAATAACATAGCTTACACCAATGCCCGATGTGATGCAGTAGCAAAGGGTGTTAGGCAGAAGCTGGGCAAGACGTCTAAATACGAAGTAGGCGAAATAATGATATGTCGTAAGTATCTACAAAAGGAAGGAATGAAATTTAATGTGAATATCAGATACAAAATTTTTCACCATATAGACGACAAATACGTAATCCAAGACATCAAGCAAAAAACGAAACACCTAGTAGAAGAAAAGATTTTAAATAATCATTTTAGATATGGCTATTGTGCCACCTGTCATTCTTGCCAAGGGGCTTCAATAGGAGACAGAATAACCATACACGAATGGAACATAAAGCTAATAACGCGACAGTGGTTGTGGACTGCAATTACGAGGTGTAGAGATTTTAAGCAAGTGTATTTTTACCTGGACGACGGGCAACTCGCAGAAATCAAGCAAAACTTTTTAACAAACTACTTAAAAACAAGGTGGAGGGATACAAACAGCAGGACAAGAAAGCCGGAAGAAATATTAACCTAAAATCCTACATTACCACCGAATGGTGTTTTGAAAGATTATGCGGAAACTGCCAGAAATGCGGCAAGCAGTTTGACATTGACGTCAATTCTGGTTGTATATCTACTGATTTCACGGCACAGCGGAAAGACAACGAGCTGAGCCACACGACAGACAAC